AATCTTCACACTTTGATATTTTACTAAAACTTGATGTATTACGTGCAATTATTAATTCTCGTACACATAACAACGTAACAAAAACTTATCAACGCCCATTCTTGCGGTGGAAATTGATTCTTCGGTTCTAAATTTCTTGTAAACAATTTGTTCAGTTCACTAAGTAAACATGCAAGCGTGTACCATCGATGGTACACGTGGCACGGAACGTGTTAAACATGCCAATATAACCTTCGGTCGACGAATACAATCAAATTCATTCGAATTACATAATAAACAATCTTCTAATTTCGTATGCGAGAGTAGAAATTATTTGAGAATAATTTGTTTCAACTGTGCACGAACTAACGCTAATCTCGTTACGTTATTCATACAGTATACATTGAAATAATGGCCCATTTTAGGATATAAGAACTTCACAACCCCGCAGAAACGTTCTGCGCTAGTCTATCGAGTCGACTGCGTGATTTGCTTGAACGGGTTCTATAAGAACAACATGCAAACGATGATATTCGAGTGTTTGTCTGCCACTTGGTCGTTACTCCTTGCCGGAAGCAAAGAATTAGTAGAGGCCCAGTCAGCAATCGTTCTGACACGAATCCACGGAGGAATCTTGCCACGAAAAAAACCAGTCGATCGGCGAAGCTGTTGTTTACACTGAAGAAATGAAAAGACGATAAGAGGCAAACGTGCGTACCTGACAAATCTCAATCATCGATAACCGGTTGTAGTGTTTAAACCTTGGAACGGCGGGCGGGGAACTGTTTATCGAAGTGAATCCTCGCAATTTTCGAACGGGTCACGAAAGTGCAATTTGCTAGTTTGCTATACCTCGGGAAGATCTCGTAACGAGACGCTCTGACGAGAGAAAGACTAACACCGTCGACGAAAGGCAGCCGCCTTCTGACCCACGACTCCGCTAAATAACCGCGGAAATATTGCCGAATCGCTGTATCGATAACGCGATATCTAACACAGATACGTGAATCTTCAAGCAGTCAGCACTGTCCAGCGATTTCTCGATATTCATCGCCGATTCGTAAATCCGAAAAGCATGAAGCGGCTATTTTTGAATATCATCTTGTTTGTCGAAAGACCAGGGCGCACACATGCTTGCCTCTGGAGGATAGCTAATGTACCCCTAATAGAAGACCTCTAAATGATCGACTTCGATTTCAATATACTTTTGCAATGGATAGTATACAGATTCCCGATTGTGTAATTCCTTGGTAGCTAGAAACAGGAATGATCGAAGTTACGTTCCTTGAATTTATGATGAATATGTCGATGGATGTTATCCAAATCATAATGTTTTGGAAAATTATGAATCTTGTTCATCTAGTTCAAAAAATGCATGTTTTGTACTACGTAAAGAATACACTATTCGTTTAAGTCAATTCATCCGTTGAAAATATTTAATTTTACTCCAAAATGCAAGAACTTTCTCCATTTTTTTAACTGCAGGAAATTCTGATTTAGATCATTGTGGTCAGATCAACGAATGATACAAATTCTTAGTGCGTCAAAGTAATAAATACGAACATCTTTTTGTTTGTCTCTTTAACAAAATTTCATAAAAATTACTTGCTTTCAAGATTGTCA